ATGCAACCTCAGTTCTTCTGTCTCCTACTTTGTCTTCATTCCTATCACATAGATAAATGTACCATTTTGACCTTTTTGTTGTTCAAGAGAGGTTTTGCTAACAGCAACAAGAATTAAACTGTCAGCTCTTGATGGGCTGTCAGAAACCCAGATGTGAAAGCAATGTGTAAAAGCTGCTTGTAGAAGTTTAGACATCCAGCTCTGTTTTTCCAGTTCCATCTCTCGCAAAAAAATGTGTTTGTGGTTTCTAGGATGAGGTACCGAATAGCTAGAGAGGTTGCCCTCTCAAAACTTTCTTTGGTCACGTGGAAGTTGTTTTTGCACTTCAGTTTGCTTGGGTTACTCCATTCTTCAGAAAAATTCAAAATAAGAGGTAGATCGAGCCTTTACCCAATACCTAAAGCTGTGGAATGGTCAAGGTCAAGCTTATTAAAAGCTAGAGATGGGGACCCAGGAAACAAAGGTCATGGAAGCCTCTCAGACGAAGACAGGAGCCATAAAGTCAAGGTAGAATACTTTTGTAGAAGAGTTCCTTCCTTCTCCATTCTCATGACAACTGCTTAATTCTGGAGTTACACAGGGCCTTGTGGCTGCCCTGTAGGCACTTCCAGGGCTGCCCTGCAAATGACATTGGTTCTTACTGGGGACATGTGTGTTGAACTCATTTTCCATAGAGTCCCATTATGGGAACTCCCATCTAGGACCAAGCTTTCACCACACTGAGGCTTCTCATGTCATTGATGTTATCTCCCAGGACAGCTGTTACCCGGTTTTACCTGACATCGTGCCCGCACAGTGTGCTTCAGCCAACTCTCAGCCTTTTGGACAACATGAAGCGTTTATCACAGTCTTCAATGCCTGGATTTCATCTTCATTTTTCATACTGATTGCAACCTTTCACCTAACAAAATTAGCCTACTTTGGTCATGTACACTAATATCTAGTGAAATCTGTCTTGACAGCTCTTAGGATATTTGAAAATAATTCACGGTTCTGCTCCCAACATTCTTTCCCCAGTTTTAATCCATAATTTTATGTATCCAGTCAGAGGGTTTTTTTAAATCCATCAGAACAACACTTTGTCTTCATGAATTATTTTATTGGTTTCTTATGTATTTTCAGTATTGAATGTGCTTGGGTTATAACTCAACTCTTTGTGCAGAAGCTGGCTTTTCATATCATCATTAATAATTCATAAGCTCCATAGAATTACTTTAGGTCTTTTTAACAAAGATCTTCAATCTTAACGTATCCAGTGTCATTTGAGCTTCCAGTTTAGAAAAAAAGATGATTCTGTATTGGGCCCTGCTGTCTCAGGAGACTTCGAATAAGAGTTTTATTCCTATTTTTTGTTTCTTTTAATGCTCAGGGTGCTTGAAAAACCTAGATTGGAGAGAACACTGCATATCTGACATAACAAAATCATGCCAATTAAGTACTTTACAGACTGATAAGCACTGTAGGGGTCAGAGAGGAAACTTTACACCAAAGCACACCACAGAAATCTCCTGAGGGTAGCAGCCAAAGTCCGGAAGACCCCTGGCGAGGCCCCTGGTCAGTTACTAAGCCAATGTGCATGCTTCTCCCCAAGCTGTTAGGAAACCACAGTGGTCAGTGGCCTCTGCCTGGGTCCTGACCTGCCAGGTCCGCCTGGCTCGCCTGGGTGTGGAGACACGCACTGGTGCTTCCGTAATCTCGACATCTACTCCCTGCAAAAAGCGACGCTTAGAAATCTAAAGAATGAACGGTTAGTTTTAAGGAAAACTTAGTATTTTTCAGAGCTCTAACTCATGCAGTTGGGTAGATGGGATTGCATTTCTTTCTTTTTCTTCCTCTTCTTTTGTTCTTCTCTTCCTCTCTTTTAAGTTGTTGAAGAGATTGTTTTCTATAGGACAAGGGTGGAAGGGCTTTCCTTTGGGTTGTTTATTTCCTCTCAACATCAATTTTCTCTTAAGTCCCATTGGAATCGGTACTCATAAAATAAAGCAGCTTGTGTGTTATTCTTCATTACAGTCAAGTTGAATCTGTCTTCTTGCAGAAGAGTAGGGTGTTTTGAAGCACTGGTACACCTCAGAGAAATGAAGCCAGTTCTTTACAAATTCATGTTTTCATAAAATTAAGTTTTATTGAATGATAGAATTTTTCAGTCCCTCTGATGTGTATAAGACTGCATCACAGAATCTTTATGGATTTTGAGGAGCAAGAGCAATAAAAGTGGACTTCGCTCATCTGAGACTAGAATTTTTTAATTAACTGAAAATTATTCTCTATATTAGAGTGTAGTTGATTCCACTGGAAATGCATTAATGATTAGGCTGATTACTGCATCTTGCAACTGTATTTTGCCTGTATTTACAATTGTGATGTGGCAGCTCCTTTCTGCTTTTTTAAAATCAAGTAATCTTTAATCAAGTCAATTCTTTTGCCTGATTGAGGAAACCAACACCCCTCCCTGCCAAAACACAGTATTATTGGACCCTTATATTTCATTGTTTTAGTGCAGTGCTTCTCAAACTTAAGTGTGCATATGAATCACCCATGGATTTTTTTTTTTTTAACTTCGATTCTAATTCAGTATGTTAGGGGTGAAGCTCAAATTCTGCATTTCTAACAAGCTCCAGGTGATGTTGACACTGCTGGTCCACAGACCGCACTTTGATTAACAAGATTTTAGAATATCTTTATGTAAAAATTCCAAATTTAGTAATTTTGAAGTTGGAGGGTGAGGGTGGGATGAAATACATTGGCATTTCTAAGGACGTCAGTGATTAAATCTGTACCTTCATGAAGACAGAGCTGATGGTTCATGTCCTGGTGGATGCATCCTTTACACAAAGGTTGCTTCCTTTGTGCCTCTACTGTTCTTAGTAGCAAACTAATGAACAGCTTTTGTTTGAATTCCTTGAGAATGGAGATTATATTTTACTGTGTTCCAGTCTTTATATTACTGGAGCCCGGTGGAGTCTCAGGCACCTAACAGGTGGCCAATTAGTGAGTTGAAGTCAATCAAACTGAATTGATTGAACTTCATTAGAACAGTATAGGGATGACCTGGTTTTGTATCTTTAAAACCACTTGTTTCCTCTTTAAAAGATTTATATTGCTTTTATGTACAAACGTAAATTGTCAGTAATTAATAATTGATCTTGTACAGGGCTATATATGTTTTTTAGTTATAGTCTTGAAATGCACCATGAAAAAATAAATATAAATACAAATTAAAGGTAATGAAGATTCAAAAATGCTAAAGCCCTTTTATTTATTAGATAGAATTTTGTTTCTATCTCTAATAAAAGGTCCCTTGGCATCCATTTTTTATTTAAGAATTTTATTCTAGGGATAAGAAATAAGGCATTTGCAGACAGTTTTGGCATAATCAAACCTCTACTCATTTCTAGAAGAGTACAGATTATTATTGAGTCCTCAGTAAATTATGCAAATCCAGAATATTACAGTTAGCACGTTTGCATTTTAGAAAGATTTCAATAAGTCATTGTATCAGTCTCAGTATGCATGGACAAACTAAATGCTATTTTTTTATTATTTCCTTTCATGTTTGATTTTTTTCCTTTTTTTAACACTTTTATTAAGATATTATTCACATGCCATGCAGTTTATTCATTAAAAACCTACAATTGGCTTTTAGTATATTCACAAAGTTGTGTATCCATCACACAGTCAACTTTAGAACATTTTCATTACTCCAGAAAGCAATTTTATACCTCTTAGCCATTACTCCCCAATTCCTCCATCCTCCAGTCCCAGGTAACTAGTAATCTACCTTCTGTCTCTATAGACTTGCCTATTCTGGACATTTCATATAAATGGAATCATATAATATGTGGTCTTTTATGACTGGCGTCTTTCACTCAGCATAATGTTTCATGGTTGATCCATACTGTAGCATGCATCAGTACTTTGTTTCTTTCTATGCCTGAATAATATTTCATTTCGTTTATTCATTGATTGATGGATACTTAGGTTATTTCTACTTTTCAGCTGTGATTAATAAGGTTGCTATAAACATTCACATACAGTTTTGTATGAAAGTGTTTTTATTTTTTTGTATACATACCTAGAAATGGAATTACCAAGTCATATGTTAACTCTGTGTTTAATCTTTTGATGAACTACCAGACTCTGGCAAGTTACTGTAACATTTTACCTTCCCATCACAGTGTAGAAGGGTTCCGACCTCTCCACATCTTCCCCAATACTTGCTGTCATGTCTTTTTGATTATAGTCATCCCAATGAGCTTCAAGCGGTATTTTACTGTGGTTTTGATTTGCATTTCCCTGATGACTACAGGTGTTGAGCACCTTTTCATATGTTTGTGATCATTTGTATATCTCTTTTTGAGAAATGTCTATTCCGGTCCATTGTCCATTTTTATTTGGGCTGCTTGTCTTTTTATTATTGAGTTGTAAGGGTTCTTTATATATTCTAGATGCAAATCCCTTATCAAATATATGATTTGCAAAAAAATTACTTTCCCATTCTGTGGATTACCTTCTTACTTGATCATGCCCTTTGAAGTACAGAAGTCTTCAAATCTGATGAAATCCAATGTATTTTTTTTTCTTTTGTTGCCTGTGCTTTTGATGCATATCCAAGAAAGCAATGCCTAATGCAAGGTCATGAAGGTTTACCTCTATGTGTTTTCTGAGAATTCCATAATTGTAGCTGTCACATTTAAGTCTTTGATTCCTTTCAAAGTAATTTTTGTATATGGTGTTCTTTTAATTTTTTAAATTTTCTAAATTACCATTTACATTCAGTATTATTTTGTATTAGTTTTAGGTGTGCAGAAGAGTGGTTATACAACACATACTTTACAGAGTATACCCCTGTTATTTCCAGTACTACCTGGCACCATACGTAGTTATTAAAATATTATTGACTGTATTTCCTATGCTGTACTTTACATTCTCAGGACTCTTTTGTAACTACCAATCTGTACCTCTCAATCCCTTCATATGGTATTCTTTTAATTTTTAAGTGCTGTGATCTTGGCTACCATGCAAGTCTGAACAGAGCCCTAAGAACATATCTCTCTGCGGAGTATAACCTTGAAACCTCCAGGCATGAAGGCTTAGACATTATTGAGAATGCAGTTGACAATTTGGAGCCCAGGAGTGATAAGCAGAGATTCATGGAGATGTACCCTGCTGCCTTCTGTCCACCAATGAAGTTCGAGTTTCAGTCCCACCTGGGTGATGAGGTCAGTAATTATTTTAAAACGGATGATTTGTCTCCTCACTTACATTACTCACCGCCTGCTGTAACCCAACAGTTGTAAGAATTCCCAGTTGTTTTCTCTCTCCTGCCTTCAGATGGGATCTTAACATAGTATTATGCTAAGATCAGCCAGTGTTACCACCTTTTAGAGAAAGGATAAAATTACTCAAATGCCTGCAGAGACCAAACAAATTTATGTGCAACTCAGTTGGGTGTAAGCACTGAACTGTCCCAGGATAGCTAAAAACTTCTTCCTCTACCTCAAGATACTCAGATTTAAATTCAGAACAAAACATTTTGCTGGCTCAATGGAATCTATCTGAAGACATCTTGTAATCCTGTTTTAAAGATCCCCATTAAGAAAAATAATTATAAATGGCAGGAAAATGAGAGAGAGGGAAAAAAATGCAAAACATCTTTTAAATATTCCATTTGACTTCAAATTGGTGAAGTGAGCATTAGAAATGATGTATCTTTATATGAATTTACCTTTCTATCCTATTTTCCCAATGGAGAAAATATCCATTCTAACCATGTATGAATTACAGTGGTATATTTTATTGTCTGTGGTCCAGGAAAAACAGGAAGAGCCAATTAATGGAGCATGCTATATAACACTTGATGTCCCAGCTGTGCAAGACAATATTCATACATTAAAAATCCAATTTTAGCTTATTGTGGTGACAGTATGTTTTTTAAAATAGACGTAATTATAATACCCAAGGTAGATTTTTTTCAATATCATAATTTTTTCTGAAACACCTAATGTTAAGACTTATAAGATATATATGTTCATACCTGCTCATTTCTAATCTAATTATATGTTTGCTTGATTTGGTAGAGTGAATTACTTGATTAGAAATGGTAAGCATTTTCTGTACCAGTATCACGTGAATTTGACAGGCGCCTGGTTTATGCTACCCAGAGTTGTTTCTCCAAGTGGTTGCTGTTTTAATTTTTCAATTATGGATATGTTAAACATACAGGGTGGTGTAAAGGTAGATTTAAGTACATGAAACACACAGTTTATTCTTATATTATTATTTATTCTTATATTATTAATTATTGTATTATTTTCTATATGAACAACTGTAAACCTACTTTCACCCCACGCTGTACAATGATAAACTATCACAGACAAGTGACTTCATTGGGTGAATAATTTTTACCTTTTTTCAAAACAGTTATTATTTTTAATAAAGTGAGTCTGTTGCCTTTTTTTTAATGGCCAGCATTGCCAGGGATCAATAATCTCCATGATGTTTTGGAGACTCCATAAAAGAATATTCTCATCTGCTGATGATATTTCCATAAAAAGAAAGAGGAAAAGAAATTGTTTCAGGCACAATTTTAATATAATTAAAAGATTTTAATTTGACCTTATTTATAATTGAGATCATGGCCAAAATAATCTGACAAAGCATAAGATGAGTGGCCTCTTATAGTTCATGGCGACTCACATCATTTGCCTGGCATTGAGAAGACAAGCCATGGTTGAAAGATGTAAATAAGAGCTCTTCACATTTTTTTGAGGTTTTATTGTTCCAGGCAGTGTTCTAAGGGATTTGTCTATATTACGTCATTTCATCCTGACAACAGACTTGTGGCACGGGAACTCTTATTATCCCCATTTCATAGACATGAAAACTGAGCTTTCGTAACTTAACACGGTCACCCTGCTAACTCTAACCAGCAGGCTCTGCTGCCTGCCCCGTTGGGCCTGTATGTTCCATTTGGATCATCCTTCACACACTGTCGCCTGCCTGATAGTCATTAAGAATTCCACAAGTGAGATGTCAGCATCAGAGCTCCCTCTCCAGCAACTGCCCCGTTCTTAGAGCGATGCTTCCCGCAGCTGCTCACTTTTCAGTCATATCCAGGCCAAACAGCTGCATTCTGCTCTCCCCACTTACGTATCCAGTTCATATTTAAAACTGAGGTTTTGAGGAGGCTGTTAAAAGTAGATATGTAATTGGAATCTTGGGATCGGTGTGATTCATGCAGCACTTAAATAGGAGAACAGTCCCTCTGGAGGCTGGCTTGATGGTGCCCTGCTGTAATACATGGCTTCTGATTCCCCACCAGGTGTGTCAGGTCAGCGCTCAGCAGCCGGTCCAGGCGGAGCTCATGCTCAGGTACCAGCAGCTGCAGTCCCGACTGGCCACTCTCAAAATCGAGAATGAGGAGGTGAGCATGCTTTCTGCCCAACGAGTAATCTGAGTTCTAATGTCAACTGGAAGACATTTTCACATGACCTAGGCATACTTAACATTCTAAACACAATGGCTTCATCATGCATTTTCGGCTAAATCAGGGTTTCTAAAATACTCTTCGTAGAGATTAAATGCAGATTCTGTATTCTACCATAGATGAATACTTTGCTAGGGATTCACTGCACACACATGGAATCTATAATTCACACTAAAAATTGTTCCGATAGGTTATCAAATTCAACTTATGTGCCCAAGAATATACAATAACGTGTGGCATGGAACTTTTGACTAGCACATTCATTTAGTCATAACTTTTGAAATGAGTACTTGTTATGCTTTCTGTATTCTGTAGATTTTGGGGACTGAAACTTTCATTACTGATATAATTAGTACAAAAAAGCATATTTTTTTTAAATAGAAACTGTTTATTTGCTGACATTAGTGGGTGTAAATGTATAGACATAAAATGTGAATTATAAATGTATAGAGAGCCAGAAAGCAGTCATACAAATCAGCTGCCTCTTTCTGAAATTAATTTAATTGGACCCACGTTCTTCTTAAATAAACACATGAATCACAAATGTTTCTTGTATTATCATGGCTCTCAGTTGTAATTTATACAGACCCAAACCAAACTTATATGTTTGAAGTTTACTTATTGATCAAGTTTGCAGTAGCTGCAGTCATAATTAAATCTGTATTTAGGTGATATTATCAAGAATCTCTGTTTTCATCACTTTGAAGTGGTACCTTCAGGTGTGTCGGTAGGAGTTTCCTTCCCTCTGCCCCATATTGGGACTGCCAGGGCTACATGGTCCCTACAGCTTGCCACCTCACCCATTCCAGCACTTCTGCCTGAAAGAGGATCCTTCATTGGCCTGCCTTGTCACGCATACTTCTGGGCCAACCCTTAGATCCAGGAAATGAGATTCTCTTATTGGTCAGCCTAGGTACTGTACCCACTCATAGAGCCCTTTGATTGACAGCCCCAGCAGAAATATCTATTTCTAGAGACAAACAATTCACCAAAGTAAGAGTTGTGGAACAGAAAAAAAAATGAATTTTATGAAAATTCACTTTAGTGCTCTCTTTTATTCCAATCCCACTGGGATGTTTAGAGCTATGCAAATGTGTTTGTTTTATTAAAAAAGACTCATGTGTTCGAAGACCAGTATAGTTCGGTCAAACGCCATCGCAGCTTCTTGGCTTCTGTTCTTTCTAGAAGAACCAAGCCACCCTTTATTCAAACATGTGTATTTAAGATGTAACCAACAGGATTAAGACCTCCATCTCTGTAAAGCCCCACAAATGAGCCTTTTCAAGGGACAGCTGGTGCTCTCCTTGAGGTGTTTGAATTTAGGCGTTAGGGTTTGAGCGAGGCATCACGAAATACTCATCACATACTGTTTACTGCATCCTACTGAATTTACAGTGTGTGCAGGACCTCCACATTTTTCTTATGCATCTCTTCCTGCTGTTTTATTTGGAAAAGATCTCCAAACTCTAGGAAAATAGTGTGTTATACACAAGGTCAAAACTGGCAGCCCACAGACCTGTTTCACTGGGCTTTTGCAGTTTGGGGCTATTAAAAACAGGGCCCTGGAGACTCTGGGCCTGAATTGCCTCACGAAGCGGGGAACTGGGGTCTTTAAATTCCCTTTGCCATAGTCGTTCAGCTCCTGATTTTCTGACTGGCCTCCGCAGGCCTCTGAGTTTGCAACGTTTAATGTATGCCCTTTGGGTATGAATTTGGAGAAGCCCAGTGCCCTCATAAACTGATGAGGCAGGCAGCAGTTCCTGAGGGTTAATTCTTAAAAATTTACTGTAGAAACAAATGAACTGGACTGTCCTGAGAGTTCCTGTGAGCATGATTGGTGGTTTATAATTTGTTGTATGGAACAGATTCACTGCAGTGGAATAGGATTCCCAATGAAAGTAAGATTTAAATTGGATTCTGGGGGGAAAAAATGGATTTTGGACAATCAGTAGATTTCCATAGGTATAAAAGGGGGAACATGTTTCAACATATTTCAAGGTACCCTGGGAGAACCTTGACTTCCCAGAGCAGTTTGGTTATCACCCAGGTTAACCGTGGGGATGCGCCAAAGGTGAAGCTGAAGTCATGTGATGAGAGGCCTTGAGAGCCCACCTGAGGAGACGGGCTACTGCGGGTCAGTTCAGTTCGGTACAAGACATGTTTGTTGAGCAACTTCTACATTCCACATATTTTGCCGGTATGGAGAGTACAGAGATGAGTAAGTCACAGTTAGCATCTGTCTAGCATATAAGAAGTCATTCATATAATGTGAAATATCAGAAACGTAACTTGGGAAAAACATAGCAGTCATTGCTGATTTGGAGTTCTGTGCAGCACTTTACTATAAATAAAGAACTTGCCTCTGAACCTCTTACTAATAGGACAGAAAACGGACACAATAGTGTCAAACCAAAATATATTCAATACAACTAAAGAAACATATATAATTCTATATACCTGTCTGCCTCTACACAAAAACATACACGCTCATAAAGTCCAAATTTTACTAGCAAGAGTTTAATCACCTACAGATAATTTTGACTGCTATAAAAATACCAAAGTTGAGAGAGCATTTCATCCAAGTTTACAAAGGAATGGATAGTGCAGTTCAGTAAATACCTGAACCTTTTCACCGAATCTTACGTGACTGCAAATAATGGGAACCATTTGAAACTGTAGGAAGCCTTGTTAGAAGGATTTATATGCTAAGAGCCCTTTGGTCATATTAATTTTGTTTACAGTGACTTGTAAAAATTAGTTGCTGTATTTAAAAATTTTAAATAAAAATATTGATTTTTAGCTTCTACAAAATTAGGAGGTGTTGTTATACTAGACCTCCATTTCTGCAGGATGATAACCTGCTTGAGCTGAGCAATAGATGCTGCCCTAGACACAGAGTGTGAGTTGCTGCTTTGCCATGCTTCCCACTCAGCCCACTTGCCTCATTTTCATTACTCCCTCGGCCCTTGAAGATATTTGAGTTTGCAGCACCTGCCTTGAAGAAAAGAGAGCAGTAAGCATTTGTGAAATGACCTCAGTATCCTCATAAATAGTAGAAGTTAAAAGAAAAGATTTGAGAAGGACTTGGTTAAATTTGTGTTTGTTGCAGATTCATAATAGATTGTGACATTTATTTTCACTACACAACTTTCTGTTTTCCTGTTGAACCTTTTCAAATGAGCTTTCTGTTTCATGTCGATGCAAACTTGCATCGCTGGTACCTCTCCCTTGGGATTCCCACTTCCCGCCAGCCAGTCAGCAAACACTAGTGTCACCATGTGTTATGCACATAGAATTGGGGCAGGGCCTGCTTTCCATGTGGCTTAGTCCCAATCTTTTTGTTTTCATTTTCTTACTCCAAAGTATAATTTTTTATGTGAAACATTAATAAACATTACCTTAAAAGATAACACTTTAAAAGCAACCTAAAGCTAAATGATCATTTATAGCTTTCTCCCTGTGAACATTTTCCAAACTCTTTCCAATCTAAAGTTACATAGTCTTTTCCATTTTCTCAAAGTTCATTCTTTTTTTTTCCTTTATTTTTTTCTTTCTTTCTTTATTTATTTTTAAATACATTTGTCTCTGCCTCCCCCCCACCACTTTCCCTTGCCCCCTCCCTCCTTCCCTCCCTCAGCTCTTCCCCTTTGGTTTTGTCCATGAGTCCTTGCTATATGTTCCTTGACTTTCCCCTTCCCTTCCCTTTCCCTGCCCGCCCCTCCCTCCTTCCCTCTTGTCTCTGTTGATTTCTTTTCCTTTCAGTGTTGCTGGTCATATTTTCCTTGCATCTTTGTATTGTTGGTTAGGTTCCGCTTATAGGTGAGATCATATGGTACTTGTCTTTCGCCCCCTGGCTTATTTCGCTTAGCATAATGCTCTCCAGTTCCATCCATGCTGTCGCGAAGTTTAGTAGTTCTTTTTTCCTTTCTGCGGCGTAGTATTCCATTGTGTATATGTACCATCATTTTTTGATCCAGTCATCTACTGATGGACACTTCGGTTGCTTCCAACACTTGGCTATTGTAAATTGTGCTGCCATGAACATTGGGGTGCATAGGTTCTTTTGTATTGGCGTTTTGGTGTTCTTAGGGTATAGTCCCAGCAGGGGAATCACTGGATCAAAAGGCAGTTACATTTTCAGCTTTTTGAGGAAACTCCACACCGCCTTCCACAGTGGCTGTACCAGTCTGTATTCCCACCAACAGTGGAGTAGGGTTCCCTTTTCTCCACAGCCTTGCCAGCACCTGGTGTTTGTTGATCTGTTTATCTGTTTATGATGGCCATTCTGACCGGTGTGAGGTGGTACCTCATGGTGGTTTTGATCTGCATTTCTCTGATGGCTAGTGATGCTGAGCATCCTTTCAAATGTCTCTGGGCCCTCTGTATCTCCTCCTTGGAAAAGCGTCTGCCCAGGTCCTTTGCCCATTTTTTGATTGGATCGTTTGTCTTCTTGGAGTGGAGTCGAGTGAGTTCTTTATATATCTTGGAGATCAAACCTCTATCTGATGTATCATTAGCGAATATATTTTCCCATAGGGTTGGCTCCCTTTTCATTTTGCTGATGTTTTCTTTGGCCGTGCAGAAGCTTCTTATTTTGATGAGGTCCCACTTGTTTATTCTTTCCTTTATGTCCCTTGCTTTAGGAGACATATCAGTGAAAAAATTGCTGCGTGGGATATCTGAGAGTTTCCTGCCAATGTTCTCCTCTAGGACTTTGATGGTGTTGCGACTTATATTTAGGTCTTTTATCCATCTTGAGTTTATTTTTGTGTATGGTGTCAACTGATGATCCAATTTCAATTTTTTGCATGTAGCCGTCCAGCTCTCCCAACATCATTTGTTGAAGAGGCTATTATGGCTCCATTTTATGCTTCTGCCCCCTTTGTCGAATATTAGATGTCCATAGAGACCTGGGCTTATTTCTGGGCTTTCTATTC